GTGGAACCTGACCTGACGCGGACACCTGAGCAGACGCAGCTATCTGAGGAGGCTCGGTAGCGAGTGTGTACAGACTCGACCCTGGCCGACGAGTGAACGTGGCCAGGTGATGACTCATCCGTGTACACGTGCAAATCGACACACGCTGACCCCTAGGAGTGGTGAAGAGCAGCGGTACTCACCAAGTTCGTAGAGAACGAGGGGAGGTGAAGACCTTGTTGTGCCAAAGCACTATAGTGGCACAGTCATCGCACTCCCATTCAACCTACAAGTCTGCTCAGCTTGTGGAATTTTGTGGGGAGGTGCTTCAACATGTGTTCTTCACACCCTCAATTCAGATTTTTTGAAGCAGTTTACAAGGCATGGCAACATTTTTAGTTTAAAGACTGATGGCATCCCGGAAGTGTGTGTTACTCTTTTTTTGTAACACCCGAGTTCACCATTTTGGCTGCTGAGTCGTCTACCAAGCTCTGATTGGTCTGAAAATCGGTGTGAGAGTTCTTTGCCGTGTTTTCCAGGTGGTCACCGAGTTTCAGGTCAACCCAGCATTGGAGCAGCACGTGACAGCTGTCGAAATTTACTGTTCCGTAGTCATGGTGCACTGTTGGCAGCATTTCCCTTGCCACCCTTTCATTGTTGTCATGCCAATGGTGCAGGGACAGAGAATGAGACAAGAAGTACAGGTGGTCAAATGGGACTCTACCACCCTCCTTTTGAGAAGTGTGGTCTTCCTGGAAGCAGCTTGCAAGAGGGTGCAAGTGGGAAGACAAGCTGACTCATGGTTGGCTTGACTCACAATTGGTAGCCTTGAGTACGGCTCTGAACATCCAAGTGTGGTTGGCTTTGCTGACCTAGCTAGGACGTTTCCCATCCTTCTCTAGCCTTTCTCCCCTAGGACTCAACCTTCTCTGAGTTCCCAGGATGGTCCCAACCCCTTAAGAGTCCCCTAGGCAATGTTGTACTTACCTCTTCCTTGCATCAATGAAGCTACACGTTTTCAGCCGAGCTTACGTTTTCATTCACTGCGTAGCGCATACACCTCTGATGAAAGCAAGCAATATACCGTTGCAAAGCAGACAATTGAAGGTAACTTCTCTCCAATGTTCAGCCTCGTATATAATCGGAGCTGATCCTGAGGCGTTTTGAAGAGAGGCGGTTTGAAGTCATCAGATTCTGCTTAGGCGGTTTCAAGGGCATCCCCGACCCCTAAGTGGACTCTACACTATAACAGACCCGACAGTGAGCCGGACGGAACCGCCGGACACGGGACGACAGTGGAGGAACGGGCAACGACCGGGCCCCCGGAGGGGTCAGCCAGTCGGACCGGGACAGGTGCAGGGAGAGGAGTGAGAGTGGTGCTGTCACGAAAGAAACAGCGTGAGGCGCCTGAGTCTAGCGTGAAGGTGTGCAAGGCCTCAGCAGGCACAGTACCAGGGAGAGTAGACTTACTAGCACCTAGAGCAGCAGTGGCTATACTTGGGTCAGGCGGCACACACCGGTAACTGTCACCCTCAGCACTAACAGACATAGCATACATAGCAGAAAGAATAACATCAAAGTCTAGGTCAGAGATAGCAACTCCAGACCTAAGTAGATCTGCCCAGCGAGGGAGCTCGACCTCGTCACCAAACTCAGCACGCCAAGCGTCGTCGAGGCGGGAGAAGCAGCAGTGCTGGGTGTGAAGCCTCCCGCATGTCTGACCAGCACGGTCATCCGTGCGAATGACATACGGGCAGCTAACACTACCCCCAGACGTCCCACGCTGAAACAACCACTCACGAAGCTGCTGGGGCGACTGGGTCTCGCTCTGACGCTGCTGCTGCTACCGCTGGCCACCTCCAGATCCTTCACGCCGAGCGCCAGTCCTACCGCCACCAGTCCCACCGCCGCCACTACCGCCACTCCCACCGCTGCCTCCACTGCCGCCACCAACGCCCCCACTCCCTCCACCACTCGCACCGCTGCCACCACCTCCACTGCCTCCACTACCTCCACTGCTGCCCCCACCACCACTCCCGCTGTCCCCTCCACCACCCTTGCTACCCTTGCCCTTGCCGCTGCGGCGCTTCGCACTAGCAGAAGCAGCTCCGACGTCCTCAGCACCAGGGACGTCTGCAGCAGCGGCAGAGGCATAGGAGGGGGCAAGGGGGGAGGGGAGCACTCCTCAAAGAAGGGCAGGCGCGGAGTGCCATGAGCAGCACCTACAGCAACTGCACTAGTCTCAGCTGCAAAGAGGTGCTGCTTGAGTAGGTCAACAGTGAGGGAAGTGGGGTCAAGTGAGAGAAAGTGGTCCCTGACAAAGCAAAGAGAGTCAGGAAGGTGAATGACTATGAAGTAGAGGGTGATGAACATCGGGGGCTGGTTCCTGTCAAGGAACTCAGCAGGGACAGTAGCGCAGTAGCGAGCGTCACTAGCGCGCAGGTGGGAAACAAGGTCCTCTACCGTGGCAAAGGCTGAAAACTCTGGGAACAGGTAGGGCAGAAGCAGGCGGCCTAGAGCAGCAGTGGCAGGCAAGGAGTAGCGAGCGACGACAGCGTCGTACAGTGCCTGTGCTGTCCTGTGCTGTCCGAAGTGAGCGCATTCGGCTAACGGTAGGTGGTTGCGAATGGCCAAGCGGGCAGCAGCGTCGCGAGTAGGCCACTGTGAGCGAGTCGCACTGTCAGCTGTGGCGAGAGGGGCAGGAGCAGCGCCTGACACAAGGTCAAACAGCGAAACATTGTCCTTAGAATCGCTCAGTAGGTACAGCTGTAGGTCGTCGAGCCACGTGTCAAACTGAACCGGTCTGCCCTCATGATCGAATGCAAGAACCCTAAGCGAAGCCATAGTGGATCAGCACGCAGGAGCAGCAGTAGCAGCAACAGTAGCAGCAGTAGCAGTAGCAGCAGTAGCAGTAGCAGGGGCCGAGGGGCCGGGGGACTAGGGACTTCGGGCCGCGGGGCCAGGAACAAAGGGACCGAGGGGCCTGGGGCCTAGGGGCGACGGGCCGCGGGGCCAGGTACAAAAAGGGCTGAGGGGCCGGGGGCCTAGGAGCGTCGGGCCGCGGGGCCGAGAGCTAAGGGGCCGAGGGGCCAAGGGGCCGAGGGGCCTGGGGCCTAGGGGGGGGGGTTCGGGCCGCGGGGCCGAGAACGAAGGGACCGAGGGGCCGAGGGGCTTAGGGGCCGAGTACGAAGGGGCCGAGGGGCTTAGGGGCCTAGGGGCCTAGGGGCCGAGGTGCCGGGGGCCTAGGGGGGGTCGGGCCACGGGGCCTAGGCTAGCGGAGACGGGGGGCCACGGGGCCTAGGCTAGGGTCGACGGGGCGACGGGCCGCGGGGCCTGGGCCTAGGCTAGGGGCGACGGGTCGCGAGGGGCCGTGGGGCCGAGGGGCCTAGGCTAGGGGCGACGAGGCGACGGGCCGCGGGGCCTGGGCCTAGGCTAGGGGCGACGGGTCGCGAAGGGCCGTGGGGCCAAGGGGCCTCGGCTAGGGGCGACGGGGCGACGGGCCGCGGGGCCTGGGCCTAGGCTAGGGGCGACGGGTCGCGAGGGGCCGTGGGCCCGAGGGGCCTAGGGGCCGTGGGTCGCGAGGGGCCGTGGGGCCGCGGGGTCGTGGGGCCTAGGGGCCGAGGAGCCTAGGGGCCGTGGGTCGCGAGGGGCCGTGGGGCCGAGGGGCCTAGGGGCCGTGGGTCACGAGGGGACGTGGGTCGCGAGGGGCCGTGGGTCGCGAGGGGCCGTGGGGCCTAGGGGCCGTGGGTCGCGAGGGGCCGTGGGTCGCGAGGGGCCGTGGGGCCGCGGGGCCTGGACCTAGGCTAGGGGCGACGGGGATCGCGACGGGCGACGGGCGACGAGGGGCCTGGGCCTGGGCTAGGGGCGATGGGTCGCGAGGGGCTGTGGGGCCGAGGGGCCTAGGCTAGGGGCGACGGGGCGACGGGCCGCAGGGCCTGGGCCGGGCTAGGGGCGACTGGCCTGGGGGCGACGGGCTGGGTCGACGGGCCTAGGGGCGACGGGCCGGGCTAGGGGTGGCGACGGGTCGGGGCCTAGGGGCCTGCGGGTCGCGACAGGAAGTAGGGGCAGCACGAGGGTAGTTAGCAGGGCAGCGGGTGGTGGGCCCATAGAAAAAACGGTCCTAGGAAGGGACCTGCTCTGAAACCATGTCAGAATCAATGAACGAGAATGAATGAACTAGCAAAGAGTTGGGTACAAGTACTAACCCTAATTGGGTTGTACCCCTTATGGGCTACCCCACTACAGCCTACACAATGTAAGCTATATATAAGTTTGACAGAGTCGACTACAAAACTCTGTTCGAGCACGACTACGTTTGCATCGTGGTTTTCAACAAGTAAGGGAGACATTAAATTGGTTTAGGGTGGTTCACAGAGCTCTCGTTTAAGGTTCATTGATGTTTCCGACGGTTGTCTTCATGTCCTGACTTCCGCTCCATTGTTTCTCTGCAGGGAACCAGTACATCATTTCAGCCTTGTGGTTGTTAGGGACCTCCGTCTACTGCTCCTAAATAACGAGGAATACCAAGCCACAGCGCCGGAAGAAATAGTTCTAACAGTCCTTTATGACTCCGCACGCGTCCATTACGACCAGTGCGAAGCCGTGTTCACAGACATCAACACGTGAGTTTAGGCTGCGGCGGCATATTTATGGGCCTTACTATCATCTTTCGTGCTCACGTGTAGACCTTGCGTTGAAAAAACCACTGTTCTTGATCCATCCGCAGGCTTCTTGGGCGGGCCCTTAAAAAGTCCTGCCCTGATCTGCCATGGGAAGAAGTGACAGAGCGGCTCACACGCGTGCACAGCCAAGGCCTTCAAGTGAGTTTGTCAAATTTGTGTTTGATGTCACGCTGTCTGTAAGAAGCACAACACGATTTACCTGCTTCAAAGTGACTATGTTTTTTTTTTTAATCTTGTGTTTAGCAGTACTTCGAAGTACCCCAGCAACAGAACGATGTAGACTGCGGGGTCTACGTCTGCATGTTCATCAAGGAGCTTATATTTCGCTGCTTCCAATTCATGGAAGAAGGGATTCCAAAACTCCGTTACGGGGGCGCGCACTACAGGCGCGAAATCTGTGCTCTGATGTGCAAGGCCGGCGAAGGTACACTGCTGGAATCGCTGAAACTGAAGGGGGCCGATATTCCACCACAGAGTGAGCAGCAGCAGCAGGATGAGGGTGAGAGCGACGACGTAGTTGAGGTCGATCTTGAGACCAAGGTTAAAGATCTATCGGCGGAGCAGGCTGTCCAAGCTGCCCAGATCAACAGCCTTTCGGAAGACATGGATCATCTGAAAGACTCGGTTTTTAAGGGCGGGGAGGGAATCGTCAAGCTGACGGTATCTATGTCAACACTGTTGACCGCCTTTCAGCAGCTAGCTGCACATGCAGGGCTCAAGCTGCCGATGGCTGCCCTGGAAGGTTTGAACAGGCCTGAAGTCGGCGACTCCACCGCTGCTGTAGTAGCTCCTAGTACAACAAGAGGTGCTCTTCACACCTCTGCTGTTGCTCCGTCACTTGCGCGTAGACCACTTTTCGGCCAGATTCCAGGGTTCGTGCAAGCCCAGGGAGCCACATCCGGTGCACAGAGGTCTAGGGCGAGTGACACAGGTCCCGCAGCCGGCGCTTCATCCTCCGCGGCTGATCAGGCGGGTGCTGCAGCATGTGTTACTACAACAGCAGCGGGTCAGCCAGGTGCCTCTGTCCGTGCTCCTCCTGCTGGAGCGGGTCAGCCAGGTGCCTATGCTGGTGCTCCACCAGCTGGAGCGGTTCAGCCAAGCTCCTCTGCCGGTGCTCTTCCAGCTGGAGTGCGTCTGCCAGGTGCAGCAGCCGGTGTTTCACCAGCAGCAGCGGGTCAGCCAGGTGCAGCGGCCGTTATTCCAACAGCAGCAGCGGGTCACCCAAGTGCAGAAGCCGGTGTTTCAACAGCAGCAGCGGGTCAGCCAGTTGCAGCAGCCGTTATTCCAACAGCAGCAGCGGGTCAGCCAAAGGCAGCAGCCGGTGTACTTACAGCAGCAGCAGGTCAGCCAGGTTCTGCAGGCGTTGCACTTACAGCAGCGGCGGCGCAGCCATGTGCTACCGCGGGTACTCCAAAGGCGGCAGCGGGTCAGCACGGACCCGCCACAGGGGTTGCTATCAACGCAGGCGTGGTACGGCCTGGAGACTACTGCTGGGATGTATTGGGACCGGGGTCGGATCTCACCAATTTTCCGCCATGTGTGCAGGTCCAGGATGCAACCGGGTCGCAAGCAGCGGATGACGCTCCGAGGACAGCTGTGCTTCACACAAGTTCAGCGGCATGGACATCAGGAGAACAGCTGTTTGTGCCCTCGAGTTTCCACCCGGGATGCATCTCCAGGGGTTTCGTGCACCAGGAGTGGGGGTGTTTGCTCCACAAGCAGGTGGTGTTCAGCCGGGAGCATCTGCACATGTCGCGCTAGCAGGGCCTAGTGGCCATGCTCTGCATCGTCCCAACTTGCTCTTCCACGGATCAGGACATCCAACCGCGTCTGTGCATCTACCTTTGTCGTTGCATGGCCCCGGTGTGTAGGAACCACCTACTTTCCTCTTTGCTGCTGAGGCGCTCGACACTGGCAGCATCCTACCTGGCCACACCTCCTCCGCACCTCGTGGGACTCTACTGAACATGCCCTCGCAACAGGTTCTGCCCTCCCCAGCCGCCTCTTCATCCTTCATGCCATCGACCCAGGTTGGTGAGGAGGATGAGGCCGCCAGCAAGGGGTTCACGAGAGTCACAAAGAAGAAGGAAGAAGAAGGGTAAGAACGAGTGGGTGGCTAGGATTGTCCTCGACCGCACTTCCAACTCTCTGATTGTCATCAGCAGTCACTTTCAATCTGAGGTTGCCGCGGCTAGGTCAATAGCTGTAGCGTCTCATGTGATGTTCATCGACAATCCGACAAGAGGCGATCTCATACCCTTGACGGACGGTGACAAGGCAAAGCTACAGGGTTGTACGGCTCAGCAGTGTGAGCTGATGGTCCGTCAGAAGTTTTGGCACAAGTGGGAGCAGTGGGCGGAGTATCGGCCTGCTGCTAAGGCTAAGTATGACAAGAAATAGCGCAAGGCTGCGATGAAGCGTGCGGCACTGGATAGGAGCTTGGGTCAGCCTGGCGGTTGGCCCTACAAAATGGCCAGAACGGTGGGTGAAGGCCTGTCACGAGGGGTGACAAGAGATAACGATGAGTGAGTGGGATCTAAGGATGAATAGGCTAGCGGACATGGGCATTAGGTGGTAGTTTTGAGGTACAGCCGATGTCTAAACCTGCTACTTAGGGCTATGGTAGCGCATTGTGCATCATGTGTGGATATGATTTTTAGCGTGTGCTTACGTTTGCACCATAATATGGATTCCATTTTGAACCAAATATTGACATACTATGGCCTCGTTTAGAAAGGGTCTATGAACGGTCAAGAAACACCGCATTTGCCAGTCAATGGCCCGTAACAAATCAGTTGGACGTGTGTCCATGCCTCGCGAAGGTATTGTAAAGGTGCCTGACAGAACATTATAGCTTTTACATTTGTGTAGGATATAGTGGGGTAGCCCATAAGGGGTACAAAACAATTAGGGTTAGTACTTGTACCCAACTCTTTGCTAGTTCATCCATTCTCGTTCATTACTTTCAACATGGTATCAGAGCAGGTCCCTCGCTAGGACCGCTTTTCTTTCCTTGGGCCCACCATCTGCTGCCCTACGAGTAGCCCCTTGGCCCCGGCCCGTAGCCTCGGCCCCCCCTCGCCCCTAGGCCCCGGCCCCTTGGCCCTGGCCCCGTTGCTCATCACTCGCGCCCCTAGGCCCGTCGCGCCCCAAGGCCCCAGTTCCATCCCGTCGCGCTCCTAGGCCTGACGCGCCCCTAGGCCCCGGTCTCGGCCCGTCCCTCTCCTAGGCCCGTCGCGCCCCTCATGCCCTGGTTCCTGCCCGTCGCGCTCCTAGGCCCATCGCACCCCTAGGCCCCGGTCCCGGCCCGTCGCTCTCCTAGGCTCGTCGCGCCCCCCAGGCCCCGTTTCCTGCCCGTCGCGCCCCTAGGCCCGTCGTGCCCCAAGGCCCCGGTTCCGGCCCGTCGCGCTCCTAGGCCCATCGCGCCCCTAGGTCCCGGTCCCGGCCCGTCGCTCGCCTAGGCCCATCACGCCCCTAGGCCCCGGTTCCGCCCGTCGTGCTCCTAGGACCGTCGCGCCCCTAGGCCCCGGTCCCGGCCCGTCGCTCCCCTAGGCCCGTCGCGCCCCTAGGCCCGTCGCGCCCCTAGGCCCCGGTTCCAGCCCGTCGCGCCCCTAGGCCCGTCGCCCCCCAAGGCCCCGGTTCCGCCCGTCGCGCCCCTAGGCCTCGGTCCCGGCCTGTCGCTCCCCTATGTTAGAATGATAGACGAAAGAATGAATGAACTAGGAATGAGATGGGTACAAATAGGAAACACATAAGTGTTGTACCCTCTAAGAGCTACCCCACTACAGCCTAAATAGACCATAGCAGATATAAGTTTGACACACCCCCATAGGCAAAGTGGGGGAGAACAAGAGGTCACAAGACCAGTCAAGAAAAGCAAAGCAAGCTCAGGGTGGATCACAAAGTCACCACGCAGTCCGAGCACAAGCAAAGGGCCACAAGGCCAGTTCACATGCAGAGTTATATAAAGGAAAGCAAACAGTACAGTGAACACAACCTAACAAGTGTAAGCATGCAGGTATATGTATATAGAGTACAGTACAAGCAGAGTCAAGAAGTCAACAAGTGAGGCACAGTAGGTACAAGGCCTAACACAGTACAGAAACGCTGATGATCACAAGGCTGAAGTGCCTTGGTGAAAACATCAGCAGTGTTGGCCTGAGAGGCCACGTACGCAAGACGAAGCTGGCCACGGTGCTGCAACTCTCGAGCAAGGAAGTAGCACAGAGCAATGTGCTTCGTTCTGTGCTCCAGTCTGTGCTCTTGACACAAGGCCAGCATGGCCTTGTTGTCGACGTACAGAACTGGAGGAGAACGAGGCGCCTCTCCCAAGTCGGTCAGCAGGTAGGTGTGCCACCGAAGCTCCTGTGCAGCCATGGCCCCAGCGTAGATCTCAGCCTCACAACTGGAGCTGAGAACAGAAGAAGAGCGCCAGGAGACAGAACCAGAGCCAAGGCTGAAGGTGTAACCCTGTGACGACCGCTGCGTAGCCAAGTCGTCAACCCAGGAGGCGTCAGCGTGAACAGTGAGGACAACTCGAGCCCGTCCTCCAAGCACGAGCCCCATGCCCGATGTACTGCACAAGTATCGCAACACCCTCTTCGCAGCATCCCAGTGCACCTTTCAGTGCCTGCCGGGAGCCACGTAGCGAGCCAGAAGGCTGAGAGGGTATGCGAGGTCAGGTCGTGTGCAAGTCATCAGGTACATGAGGCAGCCCACAAGCTCTGGATACGGGCCACTCGGCTCTACGGACTCGTCCGAAGGTGGAGCTGAGAGCGAGTGACCGGTAGGCAGAGGAGTGGACTGTGGCGAGGAGTAGGTGAAGCCGAAGCGCTGAAGGACCTGCTGCACCATGTGTGACTGAGTCAAGGTAATGGTGCGCTGTGCTCTGTCCCGGGTGATCCGCAAGCCAAGATAGCTTGTGAGCTCACCCAGGTCTGTGCACGTGTGTCTCTTCTGCAGCTCGGACTTCACGTGGGCGAGTGCCTCCGTGTCAGCAGTAGCAAAGACAAGGTCGTCTACGTACACAAGAACGTAGAACGGCGGCAGAGTAGCGTCAGTGCGTAGAAACAGAGAAGGGTCAGCAGTGGAAGGAGCAAAACCAAGAGTAGCAAGAGTCGTCCTGAGCGTGTCGTGCCACTCACGGGGCGCCTGGCGAAGACCGTAGACTGGCCGCCGGAGGCTCCACTGGGTACCAGCAGGAAACGACCCAGTGAAGCCAGGTGGGCGGCGCAGCCAGATCTCCTCGTGCAGGCTGCCCTGTAGGAAGGCTGTGCTGAAGTCAAGCGAGTGGAGCTCGTAGTCACGCTGAGCAGCAACGTGCAGCAGCACCCGAAGAGTGGTCATCTTCGGGGTAGGGGAGAAGGTCTGAAAGAAGTCAACTCCCTGTCGCTGACTGAAGCCACGTGCAACGTAACGCGCCTTGAAGGCAGGCGGAGAACCCGGCGGCCGCTTCACCCTGAAGATCCACATGCCACTGACGATGTTCGCCCCAGGTGGGGGAACCTCGTCTACGTAGGTGCCTGTGGACTTCCAGGAAGCCATCTCTGCGTCCATGGCTGCCTGCCACTGAGAGGAGTAGGGGCCCTCTATCGCCTCTGCGTAAGAGCGCGGGGTCGGGATGTCTAGTGCATCCGGGTCTCCCTCAGGGGCAAGCAGCATGGACACGAGATGAGGTGAAGCAGCAGCAAAGCACTCAAGGTCCTCCTGTCTGTCCTCAAGGACGTCCGTGCCAAGAGCACACTCACCCGCGACGGATGGAGGACAGACAGACGCAGACGCAGACTCAGCAACAAGATTAACGGCGTAGTCTAGGCGACAGGCTGCAGCAAAGTCAACAAGCTCAGCAACAAGAGCAGACGCAGCAGAGGACTCAAACAGAGGGTCAGTGACAGCAGTGGCCAGAAAGCGCGTGACAGTAGGACTAGCAGCACGAAGGGAGTCAGACTCCGGGTCCGGACCGTCAGGAAGAGAGGACGCAGGAGGAGAGGGCAGAGGGACACGCTGTGGAGCAGTAGAAGGACGCAGTGTCATAGAGTGAGTGCCTGGGACAGGAGGAAGACGCGGACGCGAAACACGACCAGCGCGAACAGGACGGACAGGCGACGCAGAACGAGACTCAGGCGACACAGGACGAGACTCAGGCTCTCGACGCTCCGTAAGACCTCTAGTCGGGCCGGAGTAAGGAGAAGGACCAGGCAGCGGAGAGGCCGACTGCAACTGCGACTGGGACTGGAAAGGCGGTGGACTCAGGAAAGGAGGAGGAGGACCAGGAGAAGGCGGGGAGCCAAGAACCTGCTGAAGGAGCGGAACGTAGTACGGCCGCGGCCGCGCAGCGCCTCCAGAGACAGCAGAGACAGAACCGGTACCCTCAGCCCCATGGCCTCCAGTCCCAGCAGCACCTCCAGCAGCTCCAGCAGCACCTCCAGCAGCACCAGCACCTGTAGCACCTCCAGCAGCTCCAGCACCAGCACCACCTCCAGCAGCGCCAGCACCTCCAGTAGCTCCAGTAGCACCTCCAGTACCTCCAGCAGCACCAGCACCAGTAGCACCTCCAGCAGCTCCAGCACCAGCAGCTCCCCCAGCAGCTCCAGCACCAGCACCACCTCCAGCAGCGCCAGCACCTCCAGTAGCTCAAGTAGCACCTCCAGCACCTCCAACAGCCCCAGCACCAGCAGCACTAGCAGCAACCCGACCGCGCCGAGAGTACCACTCACGAAGGCGCTGTGGAGAGAGAGGCTCCCGCCGCGTCGGGACACCTAGAGCACCTCCAGACGCAGCACGCGCAGGCTCATTACCTCCAGACACAGTACCCTCAGGCGCCACACCCCCAGGCTCAGCACGCCCAGTCTTAGCACCCCCAGACTCAGCACCCCCAGTCTCAGCACCCCCAGTCCCCGCACCCGCAGGGTCAGCACCCCTAGCAGCACCTGAGTCGACAGCTACCCCGACCGGCTCGGCAGGGTCTACCTGGGACACACCTGAGGGGGCAGGACCCTGAGGGGGGAGGGGGTGTACCGGGGGAGTACCTGGTGCCAGGAAGAGGGGCGGGGGGGGGGGGAGAGGCAGTGCGGTAGGGAAAGAGACGGTAGTACGACACCGA